TGAGCACCTGAATAAAGAAAACCGGGAGGTGGCATGGCGGAACCTCGACCGGGCCAGCCAATGGACACGCTGGCCCGAATGGTGGTTGAGCTTGCAGCTACGTGAAGGGAGCAGGTGGTGGTGTCTCGCCGCCAGTTGGAACAGCTGCAGGACCGTTCCGAGCTCCAGATGCAACTGATATTGAGTCAAGAAGCTTGGTTGGTTCCTGTCCGACACCGCCGCCAGCCTGACCGGCGTTCCTCGATCGCATTGGGGAGGGAGACGACCCCCATGGTGTTGCGGAGGTCCATGCACAAGAGGGACCTGTTTTGCGAGCCAGCGGTCTGTGTGCTATCTGGACCAGCTCATGCCGAGCCAGAGGTCGCCGAGAACAGGGACCTGCACAGGCTGAGTTGGAAGTCTGCGCGCCATCTGAACCTGCCACATTCATGTCAGAGGTCATCGTGCAGTCTGGTCCGAGCGGCGTCCTCGGCAGAGGCCAGCACCGTCTGAACCTGGATTGTTTACACCAGAGGTCAGCGCTTGTGGTCTAGCCTGCCGGCAGCCTGCCAAGCTGCATGTGAGATGCGGCTTACCTTCCTTGACTGCTGCGCCGTCGCTGGACACACTCGGTCGGCCCCGGACACAACTCATCCCTGCCGCTAGTCCATGGGCCACGGACGCACATGGCAAAGCCCGATTGGGCTAGGCTGGATGGCTGTCCGACCTAGGTTGGGTGTGGCCTGGGCACGGCTGCAGGGGAGGCAGAGACACACCGGACCTCCATTAACTCATAACGCCTCCCTAAGAGCGTGCCGGCACCTGAGGTTGTGGTTTATGTGTGGGGCTGCAGCTGGAAAGCTGCGACCGAGTGAGCGAACTATGTGATCTGTCATTCCTGTCGCAAGGATAAAAAAATGAATTTTGGAATAAAGTTGTAACATGAAAAATTGTAGAACAAGTGAAGTGTTGTCAAGACCTTTGAGGTGCATTGTGTTCATCCTGCTGTAACCATGTTTCTGTAACACAGAACAAATTAATATATTGATAAATTACTAGCAGCGACTTTACTGCGCTGTTCTTATTATTAAATGTTGTTGATGTTTGGACAGTAGTCTGCTGTGCTCTCTCTCCACCCGCTGCAGGGATTTTATGGAGAGAATGCTGAGCAGATGTTTTCTCTGACTCGTTTCTGTTCCTCATCCTCAGATTTAACTCTGATGAATGGGAAGCTCTTCCAGCCTGCATCCAGACGCCTTTCCATTCCTGCAACATATCAGCGATCGGGCCGCGCGACACTAACGACTCGCCTGAGAACAGCTGCGTGACGGTGCGTGTGCAGGCCGAGAGACGGGGGCTGA